AAAGCCAAGTTCCCGTAAAGGTCACGTGCGAACTTGCGAAAGAGTGTTCAACACCCGGTATATAACCGAAGCCCCATCCAGCCATGTGCCACCTGGGGGGTTCCTGGGTGCTGAGATGGCTGACATTTTGGTGAGCGGAGGCAGCACTCCGCTCACCTCCCGCGGCACGCGAAAACGGAGCCGTTTTGGGCTGTTTTGGGGCTGTTTTGCTCGGTTCGATGAGCGATCGCTTTGCAACATTGCAGCTTGTTCGAACTTACATATTTACAAGCAAAATGACCCAAAACCATGGGAAAACATGCTGTCAAGCAGCTGTACATGCGGGTGTGAGCGACGAACGGTTCGTTGAACGGAGTTGTTGCGGGTGCGCGACGACCGTTCGTGACAGTACGCCTCCTTTTTATTTTTTTTATATTATTTTTATTTTTTTATATAAATATATATATATACATGTACCACTCGACACCGTACCGAGCAAAGCTCGATACACCGGTACGGAACGAAATTTCAATCTTTACTATGAAGCCTCGGACCAGCAGCAATTTACCATTTTTAGGCCATCCTGCTGATATCAAAAGGCATTTAAGTGAAGCCTAAGTGCCTCGATGGGCCCTGGTGGAGGTACCTTCAACTAGGTGCTGTCTACACAAGTGGCTCCCTGGTTCGACAGCATAGGCCAATTAGTAAAAAAAAAATCCACAGCGAATACCTGCATGTTACCATGGGATCTTTACAGCAAACTTTCCATCAGCTGCATGTCCTCTGTGTCTAGTAAATATCCTCCTCTGTTCTCTCCCTTCTGTTTTCTCTTCCCTCTTTCCCCTCACTTCTTTCTCCCCTTTCTATGCAGGTTCCCTGTCACCCTCTCTTTAATCTTCCCTCTAGGCTCCACCTCTCCTCCGTGCTGATGCAACTTCTCCCACTGCTGCTGTCCACTCCTCTCTTTACAAGCACTTTTGACAGCAGTTAGCATCATCCAAGAGGCCAATCAACTATCAAACACGTATTTATCCGAACATGCAAGTAGTGAGGCACCCATGCTACCAGTTCCAATGCAATTAAAGCTCGATTTGAACAAGAGATCCACTATCTCATCCTGTGCAACAACTTCTGAAGATTCATTTCACACCTTGTCCACATCCTGAAGATCGACATGACAATTTATTCACTAAAATGGAAACCATATTATCCCTCAACCACTCGATAAGAAAAAGGCAAAGACAATGACGAAGGATATAATCTAATGGCATGGTCCTGAACTATCGTTTTCACATACGAGGTAGATACAAGGGCTGGGAAAGTAATATGAAGCAATTATCAGCTCATTCTAAGTTAAGTTAGGGAAAAGGAGGTATATAACTTTCTAGCCATGTTTTATAATTGGTTTGAAATTTTCAATTTTCCATGTAATTTGGGAAAGAAATTGTCAACATTTTTTCAGTAATATTCAAGGAAATATCTAGAATCTGATTTAAAGTCTAATTGGCATCATACGGTCCTAACACTCTGACCATATTTCAATAAATCCGGCAAACCGATACATACCGCTTGGTACATACGGGTACGTGTACCAGAACAAAGACCATGGACAGTCCACTTGCCAAACATGGTTTACTCTAGACCAGGCAGTATACTCAGTTCCTTTTTTTTAGTTTCTACCCATTAAAAACCCTAAAATAACCCCACACCGAATCAGTACTCCGCCACCATTTCATCGTCTTCTTTTTCGTCGTCAATACCTCTTCCCCCTCTAATACATCAGAACGGACTACTATCAACCCGACCATTGACAAGGACGAGTCAGTAGACGAAATTGAAAACCTTGATGCTAATAGTCTAGACTATACAAGTTGTCTAGCAACTAGGAGTAATATACGGAGAGCTCTAGAGGTCTCTTTTAATGGGTTTTTGGGGGCTGACAAGATTAAATAAAAAAAATCTCTAGACAGCCTCTAGTAGAGTAAAACTTGTAGTGGCGATAAAACACTAAGTTACGATTATGACTCTAGTTATCTTCTTTTTGTAATACAAATTTTAGGTTAATTTCCTCCTTTTTTTTACCTTCTTGGGGATTTGAGAAGACCTTTTGTGCTTAAATTGGAGAAAGCCTTGACAAGTGAAACTGATGCTCTCTTGTATCTTGGATGATAATATTTAATAATATGGTAACAAGTTGACTCTACAAGCAGGTTGACTGTTCTTAAAGATTCTAATCTTTTAATGGATAAAAATTTGAAGTATACAATCATGCTTTCCTATTACTTTCATGGTTCCTTCCGCCCCCTATTACTTGTGCAACTTATGCTATCTGAAGTTAAAAATGCTTGTCAGATGGTTGTCATAAGTCCTCTTTGTAAAATAAAAAATTTTGCAACGAGCTGGCACTTGGTAAGTTAAATATCAAAACTGTGTGCATCAACATAAAGCTACACTGATCATTTATAATCCAATCCAAGTTTCAAAATGATTCACAACAGGTATTTGACTCAAAACCATCTAAATTAATACTTCATTCTTTCTTAGTCAAGGAACCTACAAAGAAACCTAAAACAAAGAAACTAAGATAGACAGACTGTATCGAGAAATAATGATTAAAATATCAGTTGGAAAGGTATGGTCAACCAGGTTTTTGTTTTTCCCAGTCCAGCCAATGGGTAATAAGCAGACCATACGTCACCAATCAGTTTCTGGATTACCATAAGTAGCAGTGACTTTTGGTTTAGGCAAACAGAACCATGTAGAGGGCTGGCATTCTCACTGCGGTCACGTTTCGCACCAACTTCGCCCCATATGGAGGTATAGTCCAGCACGTTCTAAAACCCATGCCAGGTCCAAGAAATCATTTTTTAGGGGATAAAAGCTTCAATAACAATGAGTCTCTTCAATCCTCTATTATTTTTACAAAGGAAAGGAAAAGAAGAGAAGAGACGAAGAGGTGAAGATAATTCTAGTGAAACCAATTGGAAAGATACGAAAACAAATTCTCTAAAGAACTACAATCTTGACCAAGCACATGAAAGCCTACAGATTCTTCCATGGTATAAGAACTTTAAGAGATTAAAAAAATCAGATCTTAAATTCTGACCTAGAGATGGACCATCATGCACTATCTACGTCAATTCTATGCTTCTAGACAAGAATTAGATTGTGTTCTCCATACAGACAGAAACATACATAATATACAAATTATGCAAAGTTTCATTGTTATGAAGCAATGATAAGCTAGGATACCAAAATTGTTTTGAATGTGTCATGCTCTCATGGCTAAACTAAATTGAACACTCCACATAGAATTATACTTAAGAAAGTCGGTGCACCATACCTGCAACTTTGTTGTTGCATAGTCAGTAGGATGAGCTTGTAAAAATTTTGAAAGGACTGATCGATCAGCTTGACGAGAATGGACACCAGACTCCTCAATCCCAAACCAATCAGCATAGTCAGGGCACATAGAGGTGCCAGCATTTTGAAGGAGTGCTTTAACTTGCTGCACAGTGTACACACACAAACAAAAATAAGAATGCCTTCGACAATAAAAAGGGAGGGAGTAGTGTCATCCATCAAGATGAAAGAACTTTAAAGACAAAAGAAGAAGGCTGAGGGTCCAAACATCATCAAGGTGAATTACCTGCTTCTCATCTGACCTATTTGCAGCACACACTTCTCGCAAAGTTGGTCCTAGATCAAGTCCAACTGCCACCCAAAACAAACAGACAAATACAATCAACAAGACAGACATGATATCCAAAATAAAGTAAAAAAAAGCAATGAATAAGGTATCGTCCAAGGATTGCAAAACTGTCCTGGTACCACAGTACATACCAGTGTATCCTTTATCAGTATCATGGCATGGACTGGACCTGTACCAGTCTGGACATGGACTGCTCCAGGTCTAGGACCTACTATTGCAGTTCTTGGTATTATCTTCTTTGATATAAACATGGATATTCTTTGCGACCAATGCACAATCAAATCATCAGCAGATTCAACCATTAATTGTGTTTTAAAGAACACCATTCTATTGTCAGTTCATCATGTAAATTCGACCGAGAATTGCTTTCTTAGAAATATCTATTAGACATCCATGAGATGAGCAACAATCCAGTCAGGATACAGTAACTTATTAATGTCAAAATTTCTCACTCACACACTAATGAGATTCAATCATCTCAGCCAGCAAACATGCACTTTTATCATTGCATAAATGTGAAACAGTCTCCTCAAGTCAACTTGTAGAGTAATATTCAAAAGATATAAGGTATGGGTTGACGATCAAGTAGAATGCACGTATCATATCCTGGTGTCCCCGACTTGCATGGACAACGTAGACCCAGAATTATATCTGTGGCTCTGCCATTACTCGCTAGAAGTTGATAGTTGATAGAGACCAGAGGAACATACTCTGGAGTCTGGATTACCAATAACCACACACATCCTCAAGTTTTAACATCCCTAGAACTTTGGATAATTCTGAGAGAAGATTGCTTTCGAAGATGAAAGATTTAAGAGCTGGAAGTAGAAAATAGCATCAGTATTTATTATCGGAAAGAACTAAATTATGAAGAGAAAAAGGGGGCAATACCAACAGTGAAGGTGGAAGTGCATAATTTCTACTGTAGCTTTATCATGATACAAACTTTATATTTTCTTTCTGGTGTTATATGTAACTATACCACCCAGTACCACCAGAAAAAACAATAATAAATTGCATACAGGCCAAACTGACAAAGATGGTTCAATATCTATCCTTGGTTAGTACATACCCAGTAAATATTAGTCAGTTAAACAGATCTGTATCAACAGATTAGAATACTTAATATTTGTCTCAAGGATTTTAAGCATTAGTCCAGTATCAATTTAGGTAATCTATCAGGCTCAGTATACCGGCCAGTAATAACAATACATACCACTATCACCATATAAAACAATAAAAAAAATGAAATGATATGCAATGGTATCAAGCCTTCTTGTCAAGCGATAAATTCAATTCTTGAACTAGTTGACAGAATTATATCAAACAGGTTCAGTCTAATCAGACCTAAAATATATAGGTGGTAACAGGACAACTCAGCCATGACCCTTGTGTATGAGATCTGGATACTGCAGGACCAATGAACATCTACGAGAAACCATATAGGATGTGGAGAAAATGATACATTTCAGTTTTTTCTTCTTCCTTCCTCTTCTCTCCTTTGTTTTCCTTGTCACTTTTTTCTGACTCATTATCTATCAGAACACAAGAAGGTCAGCCCAATGATGCATCATGTCATGCAAATGGCACATCCCATGCCAGCCACCAGCCAACATGAGTGTGCCACCAAAAAAATTGCTTGCATATCAGCTAAAAAGAAAAAGGATAAGAAAGGGGATGTAGATGTGGTGTTGAGGTTCTGTGTATTGATTCAAAATGCGGATGCTTTACTTTGATATCTTTTAACTTTTCGGATTGGTTTCACGTCTTCTGTTCACTGACTGATTTCTTCATTCCTATTTCTGTCACTTTTAAACTAACCCCTTTAAATATATATGACGCTAAGCTTATCTTTCATCTTGGCATCAAACACGAACAAACTCCATAACTAAATCCCACTAACAGATTGCACATTGACCAAAATGCTGGGGAAAGACGTAGTTTTGGAAGTTGGAACCCAGCTCACCTCCATCTAATGCTGGCGGAGGGAAGTCTTTCAGAACTTTCTCCATATGTTTTGAGCTATCACAGCTGACAACACGGGCAACCAACCCTTCCAGGATCTCGCCTTGCACCTTTATGTGATCTTTTGACCCTGCAAAAGGAAAAATAAAAACATGTCCAGCTGTAAAAAATATCATGGAGCACATGACCAAAATTTTATGGAATACAAAGAAACAAAGAGTACTTATGAGTTAAGACTAGTTAAGAACTTAACCAACACCAGAAATGAAAGCTTTTCAAGTTTCAGCTTGGCATCACTAGTAATTAGAACATTAAACATGAGGTAAAGTAAATCTTGCAGCAATTAGTTATTAATACCAGGCACAGATATGTCTGCCACCTCATTGAGAGCCTTACACACAGTTGTCGCAGTTCCTTCTTCACACAAGGCATCATATGCAGCAAAAAAAGATGTGACAGATTTCCTAAACAAGAAAAAAGACGAGAATAAAAGAGAGATTGTTCAAAGATTTAAAAGAAGTTACACAACTTTGAACACTAGGAAATAGAGATGTGAAGAAAGAACAGAATAGAGCAGTAATGGCCAAAAAGGGTGTTAAAACCGACAACCCACACCACTAAAAGGCTAAACAAGAAAAAGACAAAGAGAACATTTGGAATTGTACAACCCACACAAACTCTCCATTTTAGCATATGACTTGGTCTAGAAAATACCGGAATAAGTTGGCAAAGAAGCAAATAATCACTGTAAGGAAAACAAGGTGTTTCCCTTGCACAATTTGATAAACCTCAGGATCTATGTTGTTAACAAAATATTAAAATTTGACATCCAAGATCCCTTGGACAATTTGTCATATTAATCATCAAAGACCACTTTGGGTTAAAAATGGCTGCACAACCAACACAGTTTCAGCAGCCAAAGGGAAGCCAATGCCAGATACAATACCGGTTTTGCTAATCATAAGACCAATATGATACTAGTATAATGAGTGGCATACCAATCTATAACATCCGATATCATTAAATAAAAAAAAAACAAATTGTGTTGTACCAATATTGAGCAATATTTTCTGAAACCGATACTTGATTGGATCAGTAAATACTAGTTTGCACCAGCAGAAGCAGTTAATATTTAAATCCTTGGGCTACATTATGTCAATACTTCAACATGTTTTTTCGCTTTTTGTTTAGATTTGAATTTATCTAGATCTACACTGATTGAATAAATATAGATATCTATTTTAAAAGAAAATTTAATCAAGTAGCTGGCATTTAAAGTACAATGCCACCCTTATTCATGTCAGATGCACGGTCTCATTTTACCAGCTCCCAAAAGCAAACTCATCAGTGAAGGAATATCTATTTGCACTTAGTCCATTTGTTATAAACAAATCAGAAAATTTATTTTTAACACTATCAGGTAGTATAATAAATGACAAAACTCCACCTTGTTGAGAACAACCAAACATGATTTGTGGGGAGACGCCATTTCCGGCAGAATGCAATTAACTCAGGAGTAGAGTAGAATTTTGGCTTGCCATGGCCCAAATCTGTTACAGCTGTGATCACAACTGTCAAAAATGTGAACAATACATCAGAACGTCATAACAAAAGCTAGAACTTCTTGGAAAAATTATAATATTAAGGATAAAAAGAATGATATCATGAGGTACAACAACAAAAAAAAGAAGTTAAAAGAAATGGAAACAAAAAGATACAAATACAAGGAAAAAGCCTTTGGGGGTTCCAGGCAAATTTCCGGTAACGAAGCAACTATATTAAAATAATTAAAACATCAGAAAGAATGACAATACAACTGATGCTGAACAAATCTCAACAACTTGAAATCAGTATCACTATCTAACTAACCAAGGAAAAAGTATTAAAAAAAAAGATGCAAACATGAAACAAGTCAAAGAAAAAAGTAACAGAGAGGAGCTCCTAAGCAAGCAAGAAAAATGTAATGAGAGAATAAAGAGACAAAAAAAATATCAGACTTCGGAGTATGTAGTATGAGCAAGAAAACACATACTGCAACCATAGCATATGTCATAAGGTGATAGACAGGAATACTTGAGTGTATGACCATTAATTTCCATGGACAGTCAGAGTACCAGGGCTCAAAAACATGAACAAAATTTTCTCACCAGCCTAATCTAAACAACCAACTAATAAGAAATTTAAGATAATAAGTACTATTCTAAGCATTTTCGATTGATAAAACCAGATACTGTAAATTTCCACCTCCAATATAAAATAAATAATAAAGAAAGAAAAGAAAAGTGAACCATACAAATTCTGACCAAGGAAAGAATCTTGACTTTGACAAATAATTTGTAAAAAATCTCAAATAATTTAAATGAATCACTGCCTTGGTAAACCAATGGAAAAATTTTGCAGCACAATTCACAAGTCCAGACCTCAGACAAAACTAAACTAAAAGCACAGTATGTGGTCAGACTTACTTTAGACTAGGCCTGAATCTCTTGAAGCTGAACCCAAACCATGACCTTTCGGTCTGGTTTAGCTTCTTTGGTAAAATTTATCCTTGTTGATCTCTAAAAATCCTCAAATTGTTCACTGATTTCATTTCTAGTTTTCCATAAGTTGAAGCAAATCGGACGTAGTTCAATATGTCAGCAGACCATAGGCTCTGTAATTAATCAGGGAACAAACAACATATTTTCCAAAGATTTAAGTTCCTTCAACATGAGGTTCTGGATAGCTGGTGAAAAGATACATGCCAAATTGCCAAATGTTGTTCTGAAACTCAACACAACAGCAAAAAAATGTAAAATCTCAAACAAAATTGCTACATTAGAATGCAATGAGCTTATCTAACTTCATTCTCTCATTCTTGAGCTGAAAACAAACATAGAACTATATTATTGCAAGACTGAATCAGTCAATTGACTCAAAGTCCAAACTATAAACCTACATCAACCTTTTCAGGTTGCCAATAACCTCTCCTATTGCCTCTGCTGCCTCGAGACTCACCAAAGACCAGCAGCCATCTTTAAAGATTGTTTACTGTTCAAATCAATATAACAACAAAAGAACTATGATAGTTTTACTTCTGTCCTTATCTAGATTGTTTACTGTTCAAATCAATATTACAACACGAACTATGATAGTTTTACTTCTGTCCTTATCTGGTTCATCCTAAGTCTATTGAACTCAATTTATGGCCGATGGAGGATTAGTTAAATTTGACTCAGTATTGTATTTGAAGTATCGTTTCTTGTCACAATAAAAAAAGGGTGATGGCAATACTTTGTAGTACTAATGCAACCAAATGTTAGAAAACAAGAAACTTCTCAAAAAACTTTCGCAAGGACTACATGGTCTTCCTCTACAAAGTCAATGAAGCAAGACACATGCTTCTACAGCCAATGTTTTCTGTACTGCCCAAAATGGTACGGTCCGGGCGTGGGCCAATACACGGACCACCCCATTTCGGGCGATCTAGTTAAAATAATGCAAAAAATTGATGGGGCTCTGCCCACATCAGCATTAAAAAAAGAAAAAAATATATTAGGGCATGCAAATGCAAACCCTCTTCTCGCGTAAGATGCCGCCACTTCGCCATTGCTGCTTTGACGCTTCCTCACCGTTACCGTTTCAACGCTGTCATTGCCTCGCCGCTGTCATTGCACTTTTCCTCCACTTTCTTCTTCTTCCTCCACTTTTTCCTCTTCTTCCTTCTTCCTCCTCCATTCCTCCACCGCCCCTTCCTCTTCTCCCTCTTTTTCTTCCTTGTCAAACCACCAGTACGTACTAACATACTATGTGTCAGTACATCAGTACATACCGGTCTGATAAAGTATCAAAACAGGTCTGATACTCGAAAAGGCAATCCTAGATTACAATTACTACTATATATTTTACTTTCATTTTCCTAACCAAATTTGGGGTAGGTCAAACTAATCATTAGTTAGACTTAGACTTACATAAAAATTCTGGTAAAAAAGAGTAAGAGGATATAGGAAAAAAGACAATAGACCATAGTTAGGAAGGAACCAATTGTCAAGTAAATGGATTATGCACAATTTTTTTGTTAAGTATAGCTATACTCATGTCATTATGAAACTATTGACCATGAAAACACATAATACAATCAAAGAAACTCTGATGCTCTAATTAGCTAAGGCAAAGGAAATTTTTGTACCATAATCATCGAGAGGTCGCTGCCCATGGTCTCCTAAAACAGCAGTTACCAATTCCATTGATATACAGATTCGATTTTCCTTGAGAAAAAAAAAATGAATTGGTAAATGACTGTTCCAAAATATATGCCAATTCACTTGCAAAATACAATAATGCATTTTTGATGTTTACGTCAACACAACTCAAAAGACCTAACTAGAAATGCTGAAAATAAAAAAAATAAAACAATATGTGTGGAGGTAAATACAAGAAAAGGATAAAATTCTTTTTTAGGGTAGGTATACAATAGATTGATAAGATAAATAGAACTATATTATGCTCTTTATGATAAGGATCATCAAACAAGCAAAACACCTCTCCTAAAATGATTAATGGTTGACACCAAAAGAAGTTGGAAAAAGCGCATAAGTTATATAAAACTTAACATCCAGTACCAAAACAAATTTATAATTTCTTATAATCGACTAGGCATTCAGTCACTCTGAATTAGGTCTGGCCAATGAAAATATGACAATCAAATAAGCTCCTAAATGAGAAAATAGGGATGTCAAAATTTTATTGTCAAGCATTTGCAATTTTTATCATACCCTTTTCCCTATATACTGAATTCTATGCCTCAATAATAGTGATTTTCAATGTGAAATAGAAGTCAAAGCTTGCATTTAAATCAAGTCATTTACTCCTACACTAACTTATATGATGCCTTTAAACAGCAAAGCCAACATATGTTTCTTTGAAATGAGTTGCAACGAGCATATGAATGGGACCCACAAGCTATCATTGTCTTTTTAGGTTGTAATATAATGCTCTTCGTTGGATTATCCATGGATTAAATCATAATAGGGGCTTTGAGACAAACTTCTTAGATCTAGATTTGGATCAATTTATAATTTGATGACCTTAGCAACACAAATAAATTCATAATTAAATCAAATACGACGATCTCAATTTTAGATGTCATTTGTTATGATAAATGAAGTTATTTATATACTGGTTAAGCCATTTCTACTGCTCTGATTTATTTGTATATGTTATATATGTTAAAGTTATGTCACATCTAACAATGAATTTTGACCTTCAATCACAATGAAGAAAATTCTCTGCCTAGTTTGGAGCATGCCATCGCTCCACCACACTAGGCAATCAATGGACTAGACCAGCTAGATCCAATCTTATTAGAATATGATACTAATCGAGATCGTAATCGAAACAATAACCAATGTCATATTAGATCTTGAAATCTTCTTCATCAGCATAATCCCATGTACAAAAACACATAATAGATCATGAAACAACCATGTAAACACACCAAAGTTTTAAACACCTATCTAATATCAGTCTCAACATCTTGGCAGTAACCCAAACAGGAAGTCTACTAACATCTGCTTCTCAGCATCACCAAACTATTAATAAGAAAAGAAAATAACTGAATACCATTCAGTACCAAATGATATGATGGTGCTTGGTTGAATCAGTCGGCATGTAACAATGCAACTGATATTCTAAATCATGATTCATGCACGGTATATAATACATTTGTCTTCTGAATTTTGTTATATAAAAAACAGTGTTTAATTTACTCTGATTGATTCGGAAGTGTCTCTATCCTCAAGTGAAATTCTTCAAAGTGAAAAGAAGGCATACTCTAAGAAGCACGGATATGGGTACAGGACACGGACACCATGATACGCCACCAATATGTTACAAATTGGTTTATTGAGAGGGAAGTATTTTTATGGAATGACAATGGATTTGAAGTATAAATACTTTTATTTCTTATATTTATAAGAAAATGAATAATATTTTCTATTCGTTAAGAATTATGTTTTAAATTTTTCATACACATGCATCTACATGTTCCTTACACCTGGTTTCCGATAGACCAACACTAATTTGTCGTTTATCATAGCCAACAAATTTTCATCCTAGAATTTTACTGTAAGGCAGTTATACATATTTCAGTTACAAACAGATACAAGAAAGTTAAAAGCTCAACAAAATTTCGGAAATAATAACAAATGCATCAAGAAAATTGTATATTCCTGATCAAGGTTATATATCATACATACTCCAAGATTCTGATATCTAGTTTGAATTTATGAATGCCCAAGATCTATTCTAGACAATCCTATATGCCCCTAAGATTAGTTTCCATCAAACTAGCATTTGAGAATAACCATCAGCATATTAAAAAGACCATTTTTGCCCTCTTTCTGAAATGAACTCTAACAAAGTTTAAATAATATAAATGCATAATTATTGGTGTCACATATTGTTCATGTCATCCTTGCACAGAAGCCACCCTAAAGTTTACTTAATATTCCCTTTTATTGAATATATTCGAACAGACATCATTAACGTTGATGTGACAAAGTGCAGTAATGCATTGGCACTAACGTGGCATCGTGACATTCACATGGCAATGACCTGAAAAAAAATTTGCATCCATATGTCATGTGAATGTTGTGCCACCATTATGAGAATGTCATGTCACCACCTCAGATATCACAGAAACATGATGTGGTGAGAACAGCGAAAACTATCATATGAGGGCCCTAATGTATGCAAACATTTTATTATATAATTTGAAAAAATCATATTGTTGGCCATGTTTATTATTTAAGCTTATATGCAGCTTCTGATAACAAGTTACAGGTTATCAAAACCTTGTCGTAGAAATAAAAATTTGGAACTCTTGAGGGTACGGAAGAACAGCAAAGGTTTGCTAGTACTAGTCCGAGCATGAACTAGTACAAGGAGGGCCCCTTGTTTCTGACGGTCAGGTCATACTTATTAAAAGAACACTATCTAACACTAGTTTAAGGCTCAAATTTGCTAGCCCTCTTCGCCCACGAGCTGCCTGCAGCTACTTGTCACTGCCTGCCACCTATCGTGCATCATCGATTCCGGGTGTGCTTCTTGTCCTCTTCTCCTCCTCTTCCTCCTTCCTCCTCTAACTCCACCTGCCTCCCCTTCTTCCTCCTCTTCCTCCACTGCCTCCTCTTCTTCCTTCCTCTTCCTTCCTCCACCACTTCTCTTTTTTTATCCTCTCCTATTTCCTCTTTGAGTATATGGTATGCGCCAATATACTGTCTGTTGGTACAACAATACTGTCATACTGATTGGTACAGAGTACAGCCAGTGACTGATACAGGTGGTCAATACAAGACAGTCCTTGGTCCAAAATACTGACGACTTACTATCAATAATATATTCAAGGTATCAAACAGATGTGTCCCAAAGGAAAACATGTTAAATGTTACTGATCTTAAATTTTCCTACTTCAGCATACCCAAGGATTTTTTTTTTAGCACAAGCACGTGCTGACACTTTTTTAGCTGGGCAACACACCCTTGTGCTAGCCGATTTATGCCAGAAATTTGACCAGTCATATGCTAGCACCACCAACAAGGGCCAACATGGTATGCTGATACTTCTTGGCATAATACACTCTGACCTGTACTAACACATGCCAAATGGCACCCTTGAGTACAGCTAACAGATCTCTGGCAAAATCATTGATAAAAATTTGTTGTACAATACTTGATATACCTTCATTAACAAACGTCCAAAACTATGCAAACTAAAAGCTCATTAACAAAATTATAAACAGTACCTCCAGAAAATTATTAAATTGTGCTTGCATTTTTCCTGCTTCAGTGCCCCACGCCTCAAGAAACATTCGACTTAGGACAAAAACACCAACTGCAGTGTAACTATATAAAAGCAGTCTTTAGTATCACCTGTTGAGGTAGACAAATCAAACTTCAATAATAACTAAACAAACTTGTTCCAAACATACATGTTTCCGAAACTGTTCTTTGCATAAGCTCCACCGTGATGACCAGCATACATAAAAAGGGAACCAGAGTGCTTGAGAGACACCTTCAAAAATCAGAAGGTAGAACTAAATACAAATATAATAATATATGGACTTAGCAAATTTGTTCAGCAAATATTCTTCTCCAATATCTTTTACTTTTCAAATTTTGGCAACTAAAAAAGAAAACATAAATATACTAAAAATCAGAGGAGCCTAGAGAATCAAACGTCATACCTCTACTGTAGCTTGACCATGAGAGACCATTTCTATCATTCTTATTCTGATCTGCACATCAAACACAATAACCCAATTAGAACATTCTTCAAGAAGTACACTATCAACTTTACCAACTAAGCAAATTATAGTTATCATATATGAGTTCCAAATGGCACATGGTTTTAAATCATGGAAGAGTTGCCCCTTTGCAAACTGGGTCACCAGGTTTCAAGTCATGAACGTAGCACATTGGCCCTCCCAAGACCTTGTGTCACTGAAAACCGCATGCTCTCGCCACCCTTTTTCCAACTGAGAGATGAAGCTGATGTCACTAAACTTGACAGCAACTCCTTTGTCAAATGGGCATATCACATCATAGACTCATGGTCAAACAATAGTTGGATCAAAAATGGTCCTATTTGGACTTACTTTGCTCAATTGGCAAAAAAAAATGCATGAGCAAGAGCCATAGAGCTAACCAGATACTGACTGACGAGGCACCAAAAACACCAAAGAATGCACCAGCGCACTGCCAGAAACCTCATGCACTAAGCCACACCTTTTCTTCAGAAAACCAATGAGGATGATGCCACTAAAATTTGACATCAACTCCTCTGTCAAGTAGTACATCATATCACTCTCTCATAGCCAACGTATATTTGGATCATAATGGGTCTATTAATGTGTACTTTGTTCAATATTGGCCAAAAAATGCATGAACAAAGGCCATAGAGCTAACCTAGGTCATAAACCTGTTGCTGAGGCTCTAAAACCACCTAAGAATGTCCTTAAGGACAAATACAAACTACTTATATTGTAAAAAATATATATAATAATGCAAAACCAACATGACTGCCAGGAATAAGATTAAGCATAATCAAGAGATATAAACTGGAAAGAATTAACAATTCTCAACAGAATTCCCATTGTGGGTTTAAATAAAAGAGTACTAACCAACAGTGATTTAAAAAGCGCTAGGCGCCAAAAGGCACTAAGGTCCAAAAGCGCCCGAGGCGCTAGGCGCCAAAAGGCGCTAAGGTCCAAAAACGCCCGAGGCGCTAGGCGCTCGCCTGAACGAAGCGAGACGCTAAAATATAAAAATATATAATATAATTAATAAATATAATTATTTAAAATTTTAAATAAAAATATGCTATTAAATTAAGAAAATTAACAGTATTAAAATCAAAATAATATATTATTAATCTAATAAATACAAATACTATTATTAGAATACTGTTAACAGTATACAGAATGAGAAGAAGGAAGAGGAGTGCAAGGGAGTGCTGACTGAGAAAAGAGGAAGCGACAGTAGTAGTGGCAGCGGGAGCGGGAGTGTAAGGAGGCAACAACAGCAGGAGTGTAAGGAGGCAGCGACAGCGGGAGCGAGAGTGTAAGGAGGCAACGGGAGCGGGAGCAGCGAGCGACGACAGCGGCAGCAGTGACGAGCAACGGCAGCGGGAGCGGCGACAACGGTAGCGAGCAGCGACAACGGCGAGCAGCGGGAGCGACAGCAGCAACAAGCAGGGTTAGGGTTGGGCAACGACAGCTGATATTGGTTTTAGTTCGTTCGATTGAACCAACTAACCACCGAAACCGAACCAGACCTAAAATCCTGGTTCGGTCGCCTGGTTTAACCTAAGCGCTCGCCCGAAGCGCCCAGCGCCTAAGATCGGGCGAGCGCCCAGGCGGCGCCTCTTTGAAGCGCGCCGCTTGAAAGTGAAGCGAGGTGCTCGGGCTTCACCTCGCCTCGCCTGAGCGCCTAGGCGAGCACCCGAGCGCCTTTTTAAATCACCGCTAACCAATATACATGACATAGCTGCTATTCGCGTAGGTTTCCATGGATGCAATAAAATTTCCTATGTCTCCTCTCTCTACCCTTTCATAGTTGCTTTAGAGATCTCTTACCCAAGAAAATAATCGAACATATGATTTAGTATCTTAATTGCTCATGTGTTATTAAAAATTATGTAATATTAACATATTTCTGTCCTAAATCCTGCTTCAAATCGGTATCAACTACATATCCAGGTTCATATTTGTGTCCATTGTAGACAAAAACAACCACAAAGTTTAGCAATACAACATCTGCACCTGAATTCATCTCTGCTAATTAAACATGAATATTGAAACAGTTTACCCATTATCTGACAGATGCTAGTCAAGATGCCAATGAAGAATGTTGGTTTTAAAAAAAAACTACCAAATCATCCAATGTGGCAAAAGATCATGTAGCTGCACAAACCGAGGCTAAAGAATTATTTGCACCAATGGTGAGACATACACAACAAGTCTCCAACTTTAGCGAGATGCAATTAAGAGGGGGCAACGATATCCATAATCAAACAAGTCCAAAATGAGTCACCAGATGAATAAACCAAGTATCTTATGCTTAAACTCCAATAAATCTCTCAGAAATATGAATGAAAACAGAAATAAGAAACTCATTAAGCAGATAATACCTCCTGATCCGACTTCTCATTCTCAAATTTTGGATAGAACGTAGCTCTTATTTGTGCGTGTGAGAAGGTGTTATTATCCACGTTAAAATGTGCACCGATGGGACCCTTGAACAGCTTCATCAAGTTGTTGGCGCTACTGCCCGTCTCCTCCTCTGTTGGAACCGAACTGATGGTGCTCTCAACCGGAGCAGCCACAGCACTAGTAGCAGTCACATAGGATTTAGGTTTCCACAAGCCCTTCTGTTGGCTCTTCACGGATCCCTGGTTCGACAGCGGTGCACCACCAAGCTGCATCGGAAGTGAACGGGCAGCAGGATTGTCGGCAATGCTCAACCTTCCGACTCCATCGGCCACTGCAGACGCTGTAACTGGTGAGGAGGGAGGAGATCCCACGGCTGCAGGCCGCTGCTTCTCCTTCCATTGCGTCGTCTGCTTTCCCTGCGATAGGAAATCAAGAAATGTCGACCAGAGGAAGACCAAGTGCGAAAACAAGAAGCGTACATCGAGAACACGATCGACGACGAAATCAAGAAGCGTCGAGGGTGTGGTGAAGAACAAGATCGACGACCAAATCAAGAAACGTCAATCACGTTGACATCGAAATCAAGAAAACGATCTAGGACGAAACGAAGAAACATCAATCGACGGCGAAATCGAAAAGCGTCGATCGCGAAACGTCGGTCAGGAACACGAACGAGGACGCCGGAGCGGGGGAAGAAAATGGGGGACGGGACTGGGGGCGTACCCGATGGGCCATCGGCGTCGACGAGGCTCCGAAGAAGCGACGGGGGACCGGCGGGGACGGTGAAAGGGGGAGGCGGCGGCGAAGGAGGAGGATGAGGGACGGCGAGGGCGAGAAGGGTTTTGGGGGAGAGGGGAGGTTGAGAGCCAGGAGGCTTAGGAAGCGCCCCTGCGAGAATTTCGACATCCAATGCCGAGGCGGCGGTTGTTCCACGGACTTCCGAGTGGGCCGCCGCGACACGCAGATGCCAAATTTATAATAGAGCGCGAGACGGAATTAAATCTGAGGGTTGAGTTTTGGGCCGGCTCGCGGCCTAACATTTCTACCTTGGATTTTGTGGACCGGCCCACATGCGTAGTGGATCGTTTGTTCTTCGGCGTAACTTTATCTCCACTTCTCATGCATTAATGTATTAACATACATATTTACATTGCACAATATTTTGTCAATATCTCTACTTTTACTAGGAGGAAATTAAACATTTAATTCATGTAATAAGGAAAAAAGTTTTTTTTCTTAATCATAAAGATATGTGATCATTAAAAAGTGACTAAATAAAAATATATTATCTTAGCGATAGAGTCATTGAAATGTTTTTTTATTTTGTATTTTGGATCATCACTTCATCAAATTTTATGGAATAATATACTACTGTTGAAAAATAGAAAAAATTAAAATTTTATTGGTTAATATAAACTATCTAAACAATAAAATATATATTGAATATTATATATATGCTTAAATCACATAAGACAATTTATCATAATTAGATTAATAGACAAATCATGTGATGTGAAAGCTTGATTATAACATGCATATTGGTAATTGAGATCGGTTGATTGTGTTGGGAAATCTTAGGGATGAGCATAAAACTCAAAGTGATAAAATCGCGTAAGGAGTGTGAGATGTTTTCACCTAAGAAAAATTGTATATCCCTAATTTGCATATCTCAATCTCTCACAAACTCTTCTCCAGCGATTATCCATACAACGAGTGAGGCAATGACACACCTATTCTTTTCTTGTATTTATGTATCACCACACTGTAGCAACCAATGAGGGATCGGTCCCTCTTATTATCCTCTCAAATTAGAGAGGTGGTAGTCGACTTTAGAAAGAAGTATGGACGATACAAGATGATATAATCTATGTATACTCTAAGTTACCGTGTACGTATAATCTCTCGTTCATCTAATATCCCATGGATCATATGCGGAGCATGATACTATCAATCCCATACGGAATCATAGGATATTTTTCTCATGATATTGAGAGTAGATGATCCTTTATTGACACTCAATTACCTTCGTAGGATTGGCTATCATTCCCAATGATCAGCTATACTAGACATAAAAGTTTCAAACATGTAAGTTATGTATCAAAGAATCGAGTACTCAAATAAGACATCATTGGTATCTCAAGTCTAAAAACCAGATATATATTTGAGAGTATAAAATCATTATTTAACGATAGAGGTATCAAATTAACCAACATTCCATAAGCATATCATTCAGTGAACTCATTCTCCGATAAGCTCTTGCACTATATCCATAGTATCATTATACAAACAACTATGAGACCAGCTATCTTTATCATATTGACGGGTATATAACACATCGGTCTATTCGATTATCTCGATATCCTTTACGAGTAATATACGATCAGAAATATTTAAGATATATATTTAAAGGTGAATTTATCTCATTATCATAATATCTTATCCAATATAAAATAAAAAATATGTATCCATCACAATATATATAGATCTATGAACATCATGAAATATACACCATCCAATATAAAATAAAAGATATAATAATAATAATAATAACAAAAAAAAAGATTATACAGCTTATAGCTTATCACACATGCGATTAGTTTAAGGGTCACATTAACCAGCAGATCGTTGGCTCCATCTCACTGTTTCCACTATTTGATAAAGGAGAAATTGATATCTCCAACATCAACACATGAACATCGACACAAATGACACTATTAAAATCGTAATTGAGTCATACACATTGCATCATCGATCATCTTCACAGTAATTATGTCACTTCAGTGGTCGAAGTCATCATCCCAGTGACTATTAAGCTCCACCATCAGAACCTTGTTAGTAGTTATACCCCCATGGTAGTAGTTATGCCATCACAACAATCAAAATCACCATCTCATCTAATTTATCATTATTTCAATAATTATATCACATCAATGATCAAAACTATCACCTCAACATAATTAGACCAAGTCATTAATCACCTTTGTAGTCAAAATCATCACGACATAGGTGATTAGTTAATGTCATCAACCATCTCGATATCTACTCGAATCATCGTAACTATAAATGACTATAGATATCTAACTATAAATATTTTTTTCTACTTTTATTTCCTAAAATCTATTATACTTTGCGTATCTTATTACTTAATATCGGAGAGATCAAGTTAAAAATCTTCAACATTATAGATGCATAGGTAACATCTCGAGAGTACTAATTCTTCAGTAACCGCCTAAATCTACATTGGCCAATTATTTAGATTTTTTAAATGTTTTAAGCATGGTCTGCAGTATCGAACTGTACTGCCCGGTACGGGAGGTACGTATCGGTCCAACAAATTGTCGGTACGCGGACCGCCTGTTACCGATCCGAGTGCACCGTAGCACTGTAGCAGTGTTACAATACTCGACACATCTGAGTATATCGTTCGGTACATCTGGGTGTACCGCTCGGTATACCGTACCGTACCGGTACCGAGCCCAGGTCAAAACATCGATACGATGTTTACGCAAATGATGACTAATCGATGAATCGATCTTCTTATAACAAAAGATCAAAGTCGAATGAGAAGCCAATGCTAAGAAGGCTTATGGATAGATACATTGACAGGAATCGAGAAAGAGAAGGATTACTTGATTCATGTTAAACATCTTCCATCAAATGTCAACATGCTTAAGCTTGCATCTTCCACAGCATCCCAAGTCTCGAATGGCTTCTGATTTAGAACAACAAAATCTCTGAGATTCTAGTGTGTCTAGGATCCCATGTCAGTTTCCTCCTGTGAACAGCGAGAGTTAAAGCTCAAGGCCACTGAACCTCCAACATCTTCCAAGCTTTCACGATCACATTACCAGCTGGTGATTACAGTTCCTGTAGGCGAGAGTCATCTTCTTGGACGTCTGTCATGCCAATTACGATAGCTCCCGAGACATTGATGTGAAGCAGGAGCAACACTCCCCTGTAGAGCCTGTGAAGCGTATACCTGTGCTGCCAGGACCATTGCTCCTGTCACGGCACTTCAAATCTGTCACGTACTTTCCACCATGTCTCACCTGTTCTTGATCTCCGAACTGCAACTTACTGCAACTTCTACAGGGTGTGCGACACCCAACAAGTAGGGCACTGCAGTGAGATTCTCTTCTGTAGCTCCCACAGTGTGCTTCTTGTACTGGTCCTATGATTAGTGGCCCTAAATGACCATCCATTTCTATGCTGTGATGGCATCTACACCACACCTCTACATCGGCACTACAGCACTTAGTATCAGCCTTCCCGATCTCCATCATACTCTCTGTCTCTTCTTTTTCCGGTCTTCCTCTGCTCTTACTTCCTTTCCTCCCTTTCACTTTATTGATATCTGCGTCGGCGCATTGAATTGGCTGATGAGTCTACTAAACCCTCTCTCTCTCTCGCTCCCCCTTATGGCCTGTGGACTGTGGTAGAGCCAGCGAGATGAATGGAAGGGGCAGCGGAGGTGATGGGGGCGTTGTGTGAATGATTGCCACCAGCTGTGCGTGATTGCAACAAGCAGGTTTACATCGAACAGCGTCACATGGCCATTGATGTGATCCTTGATGTGGTCCTCAAGGATCGGACGGCCGTGATCCGTGCGCCATTGGCGCTGCCGCATGCGCCGTTGCCTGTGTCACGGGCGTGTTGTTATTGCCAATGGGCCTCATCACAACTACTCTGCCGCTGGCTTCTTGTCTTGTCTAATTATTTTTCCTCCCCATTCAAATAGATTCCTAATTATCTTAATTGCTTGAAAATAGTTTCCAAGAATATATATATATATATATATATATATATATATATATTTACCACATTAAAATTACCAAAATTGATTATTATCATGTGATGTCATCAAAATTGAAGATATGATTTTAATAAAATATTTATAGCCTAAAATTCTACGATGGTTAATTATAAATTATCTCTTTATAATTAGTTATCTTTAGTATTTCGATTCTTATTTTTTTAAAAAAATTATATTGAGATATTTATATTTACGAAATGAAAGATTCAGATCCATATAGATAAAAGAATAATTTTATAAGATTAAAAATTAAAAATTCTTAAAATAAAGAAATTAAATATTTTATTTTCATAAATATAAATATATAATTAGTTCTGATAGTTAAAAAAATATAAATATATGCGGATTCGAACTTTATTACTTTGGATCATAAAGGAAAAAAAAAAGGTGCAAACTTTGTTGCTTTATTAAGGCAACTTTGTGATGTCTTTTATTTTATCCTTCTTTATTGGTTTTTTAATTCAGCTTTTATGTTTGAACGACCAACGAATCGTTCGGTTTCTCTTCGGTCTCATTCTTTGCCGTACACCTGATGATGATTCGTAGGTCATCGAGACTCGGAGTTCGCAGCTTTGGATTTGATGCTGTTGTCGTTTGCCTTTGTGGCCTTATCACAAAAGGCATCCATCCCCCTGCATCTACTCGGGCACCCGGAAAGCTCTTCCGGTTTGCATGGGCATGACAATAGCAGTTTCTTCTTCCTTTTGACGCCACCGGTGATTCAAAGGTACAAACTATGCTTTGATCAGAGTATCGTGGGATGTAGATTGGTTGCATGGTATAGTTTAATCCAAATCTTTGGATGTGTTGCTTGTGCTGGACGAGGTGTTCATCGCTTCCGAGGAGTTTGGGGATTACGTCGTTTAGCGAAACTCTTGTGGACATATGTTGTGGTGGTCGTTGGCGACTAAGGATTCCGACTTCCGTAGGGAGGCTAATCAACACCTCATGTGTTTGAAGAAATGTTTGTGAGAATTCATCTCCTGGTAGGACCAGTGTTGGTGTGGCCTGGGGAAGAGATAAGCCTTGGAAAGTAGATCGAACTATGGTTAAGTGGTGCTTGTTGTTGTTAGGCTTTCCTCGGACATCTGTGGATTGTGTTATTGACCTGATACTAACCTAAGCACTTC